ACTGGCTAGATGATTTCACCTGTAATGGTGATAACAGCTTAAAATTCAAACTTATCTTCTGTGTTTAGCTGCTACTTTCTAAATCCATTTGTTTGATGGATCTTTCTGTAGAAATTGGATGGAACAGAAACCAGACTTGTTCTCATTTTCCTGCTGCTTAGGGGAGGTGGTGGCAACACATGGCACAGTGACATGACTTAATTTGGGAGATTATTCATTTCTAGATTTATGATTTTCTGCTTCTGGTCAGGTGGTTAGATTATTAATTCAGGAGAATAAGTTAAACAACTAATTGATCTACCAATACATTAATCTCATCCTGCTGCAGTGACAGTTCAAGATAATGTGAAGCTTAGTGCTGTAAATTCAGGATAGGCTTAGTCACAGCTATATATATGTGTGTGTGTGTGTGTGTGTATACATAGTCTCCAAAATGCATCTGAAAAGATCCTATTTATCTTAGTGTAATGAGGTAAAATTTAGAAGATGCAGCCAGAGCAAAGCTGTGAATGGAACGAGATCAATATTCACGACATCGTTACTGTGTTTCCCTGAGAGCACGCTCTTTTATCCTAGTGCTTAGGGTAGCAAAGGTGATTAAAACTTCTGTGGCTTTTCTTCTCCTTGTACTCTAAATCAAGAATCAAATTCACATATGTAGACAACGGGGGATATTCTGACCTTACTTGGCTTCATGTTTCTTTTGTATTTGTTGCTGCAAGCCATGCCTTAATTGCAGAGCATTGTTACTTGATGGTATTACTTTAGGAAAATAATTCTACTCTTCAAAACATGTGGTGTGAGATTTACCAGAGATGAGAATTAGGCAAGCAGTCAAGCAAATGTCTCCTGCCTAGAAGACTCTTAAAGGAGTGATAGAAAAAAATTATCCTTGCATTAAAAAGAATAATGCAGGAAGATAGGATGAGAAGAGCTTTTTCCAGCGTTCAGTGTTGGCCTTCTCTACTGCATGTTGTTAAGGAAAAAATTCCTAAATAGAGCATGTTTTGTTCATCTTTGTGTTTTCCAGTGAATACTGCTGGAAGCCTGCTTTGCAATATCCCTCTGCTGTGATGTTAAAAAGCACTGCTGAACTTGTGTCTAAACGTATTTTTGGCCAGTTTGTCCCTGTTTTTTCATATGCTAATGCACGTAGAACTAAAATAGCGGTCTCGTGTTTATATTCATGTATTTTATTTTTCAGCCTTGCATGCTGTTGAGGTCAGATTAACACGGCTGCTGCAGTTGTACTTGTTATTTTTTCCCACTCTCCGTGAATACTGCTGCTATTACGTATCTGTGTGATGTCACCTTTAGCTGATTGCCTTTGTTTTTTGATGTGTCATTTCCTGTGCTGTCTGCCCTTATTCTCTCTTCCGTGGATAAAGAACAGCATCTTTCTTCCATCCGTACTTTCCAGTTTCCTTTTCTGTTATTGGTCTTTCCTAATAACCAGTGGAAGGAACTATTTACCTGTAGCGCAGAGCTCAGACCTAAATATTTCCCCTCACCTTAGCTTTTTACAACTTCTTAACGCTAAGATATTCCCAGCACACTGCAGTTTGAAGTTCCTGAGCTCTGTAGGACTGGCATTTTGTTTTCTAGCCTGTCTTATCAGTCTTCAGTTTAGCAATACCTGGAAGTAGGTAACAGTTTAAGTTTACAGGTCTCTTGTGATTTATAGTAGATTCCTTGTACTGTACTGGCAGACTTAACATTTTTGTAACTTTTTTAGTTTGTGTTAGTATGCCTAAATTTTGAAAGCATATATGCTACTGCCCCGTGATGTTCAGGTTTTTTTTGTAATTTGGAGAGGCTTCTTTCAGTATCATGGTCCAAACAGGTCTGCTTATTCTATGGGAAGGAGTGACTTCTCGTTAGTGATAAAATGAAGTATAAGTATTACTTTGGATGAGGAAAAATTACTTTTCTGTAAAATATCAGAGCTGCATTGTTCCACTTCATATGAATCTTAATGAGGATTTTTTTTTAATAGAATCTAAAGAAAGCTCCATATGCAGAGGAGTTTGCAGAGTTCTTTACAGAGTTGTTATCAGGTGTTTGGTATAATTCCATTTTTCTTCAGGTGAACTTAGTACTCAGACCAAATTATCACTCTGCACAGATTGAAATATCAACTGAAGTCAATACTGGTCTGTAGTAAAAGTTTTCTTTTAACATTTTACCAAAGAGTACCAATATTTAGTTTAAAGATATCTAACTGATCTGTAAGGATCTCCACTAATAATAAAATTAAACTGCCGTTGTAATTGTCTGAACTTTGTCCTCAGTTATTTGAACACTTAAAAGTGTACCTAGTGCAGATCAGTACTGTTTTTCCCTTGAATGTTCAGGCACCTACAGGGGCAGAAGAGTGTTTGTGCACTTTGCTTAGGCACTCCAGCCATCCTTGTGCCTTGCTTATGAAGGGGTTGTGGAAATAGATGCTGCTTAAATGCTTTGCAACTGTTTTTATGAGTGATAGCAGTTTGAAGATGGTGAACATGGTTCACTGTTTCTTCTTGCCTGTAGTTGTGAGCTTAGCTAATATAGAATAAGTTTGAGGGGAGAGGGAATTCCCATTATTCTCATCTGATTTTCTTTCTTCTCTGCAAATTGACTGTTCTACTTATTCTCAGATGTTAAAATCTGGGAGTGGCCTGTCAACTCCTTCTCATTTTGAATGACCACCTTGAACTTCCTCCAAAGGGTAGAATTTGCAAGTTGCCTTCATTTAGAAGCTAAACAATTAAGTGAAATCTAAGGGTCTTTTTAATGGAACAGATGGTAAGATCCAACTCCGGCGCTGATCTGTAGGCCTGTCTGAAGAGGCAGGCTCAGAAGTCAAGGCTGTTCTGCAGTTTGAGCTTTTCTGTATGTCAGAAGTTTCTTCCAGACCCTTTTTGGGGAGATGAATGTGCATGGAATGATTAAGCTGTCTGATCTTTGCCTTCACCTCCTTGGTAATAGAAAGGGATTAGTGGTTTCAGTCTGTCTTATTCTTTACGCTCAGTACTGCAGAGCTCCTTAGGAGGCGGTATTTGTGATCATTTTAGTATGACATTGTGATCCTGCATATGACCTCTGACCACAAAGGCTGTAGGTACTTTTCTGATTCTTTGGAGGAGTTGTATGAAAAGCAGCTGCCTATTAGCATTCATATTTGATATGCCCTTCATGGTTTGGCTCAGGCATGCTGTCACTCTCTGAATTCTTAAACAAACCCCAACTTTTGAGTTAATGATTGATCACTGAGCTCTAGGAGGATGGTGGCTGGAGATGTGCAAACTATTTTAATTTCTGGAGCCTTTTGCAAATTAGCATGGTCAGTAACCCCATAGATGTAGCTTATCCATTTAAACTTGAGGCCCGAGCTTTTATTTTGTTGTGTTGCCTAATGATACCTGCTTATTTCTCTAGAAAAAAAAATTCAAATAGGAGACCTCTACGCACTTAATACCAGTTCTTTATGCTGCTCTTAGCAAGAGTAGTGGTATACCACAGAAGTTTATTTCAGCCAATCATCTGGATATCAGAAGCTTATTTGAGTTTTCTCCTCTTCTATTTTTTCTGAAGCTATTGATGAAATAATGTACTATATCTAAGACAAATACATGTTACAGAGCAGATTTGATTCTACAGCAATAAAATTATTCATCTCTCTTGTTGTTAGCAATACCGATGAAATGCTAGCTGTATATTTACTGCTGAAGTTGTTAGCTCAAATGCGTACAAATGGTCATACAAAGAATTATTGCTCTAAGTCATTGTTCTGAGATAAAAGCTCTCTTGGACCAAGTTGAAAGGGAATATGCTGACAAATGAGGCAAATGAGGTAAATAATTGCAAGATGGAGTTTGCAGTTTTTGTTGTGTAGGGATTTTTTCTGTGGAAATAGTCTGAAAAACATATGCTGTAACAACAGTTTGCTTGTCAGGTGTTTGTTGGCAAGAGTTTAATCACAGCAGATATTTCTAGAGGAGGCATGAATCAGAGCTTTGATTTTGTAACACAGTTATTGTTATTCAGAGGTTATATGCTGTGGATTTCCTGTTCCTTCTGGTAGTAAAGCAATGGCAGTTTGTGCTCCAGAGAGCACAACTGGAAATCTCTATGTTAGCAAACCAAAGCTAGAGTATTCAGGGACAAATTTTAACTGCAGGTGGTGAATATCTTCTTCCTCTCTCCTCTAAACAGAAAATGCGAGGCTGGCAGTAGACCCAGCCAAGGGCAATGTCATAACTGGCTCAAGTCAGTTAACTCAGCAGCACCTTTCAAGTTCCCAGTGCAACACCATGCATTCTTAAGGAGCTAGGGAGATGTATAGGAATGTACCAGCATTGTAGTTGGGGAGTAGAAAGAAGAGGTTAAGGTATGTGAAGAGGTTAATAGGACATTACCTGCCCCTGCCCCCAAACTAGTACTAACAACTTTTATAGAGGTGGCTGGAAAGCTGTATGCGGATGTTTTCTGATCGCCTCAATGCTTATCTTTGTTAGTGACCCAAAGCAGCTGCAAACTACTGGTACTGTCTACCTGTACTGCTGTTGGTGGCACCCAAGCAAAGTAAGCCTGGGAACCCTTTCTGTTGGAGATATTTTCCTGATGCCAGCTCTAAGACCAGCTAAAGACGACGTTTCTGCTAATAGTGATTCGAAACAGACGTTGAGCAGGACAGAGCTGCGGTTCTAGTGTGGCCACTTCCACTGTGTTTTCTGTAGTTTCTTCAGCTGTGAGTCTGTCTTTGCATTTATCTAGTGGCTGGATTTCTTGACATCAGTGGGTGACCCAACAAATGCAATCTTTCTAGATCTGCATTGGATTGCAGTTAAGTGGCACTGTCACATACCAGCTGTGAACTTCAGCTGACGGGAATGTATACAAAGAAGTAACTACCGGAATATTTAAAATGCGTGCTTTTTCTTATAGCTTGTGTTTATACTACCCAAGAGCACTCATTGTAGTGGCTAGTTACTTAAAAATCAATTTCTGCCTTACAGCTTGCCTTGAAGGGATCTAACTATGCCGGTCTACTGGAGCGACATCGCATTCACTCAAAAAATGTGGAGCATGTTGTAGACAGCTTACGGTAAGATCGTATGGGTACTGAGGATTTCAGGAACAGTGCAAATTCCAATGGATTGTGTTAAACAATGGAACAAGCTTTGTGTGGCGAGTGCTAATGAAATAGGAATACTGAAAATAGGGTGATGTAGATGGACAGTAGTTCCTGAAACAATCTTAATGTGAACGAGCTCAGTACGCTTAACTAACACACTGCATTATTACCTTGAAAGCAAATTGAAAAGATGTGAAGGACTTGTGTGAGAATCAAATGCTCATAAACTAAATACTGCTGTAACTAGTCCTTAATTACATGTCAGTTTTTCAGAAGGATGGGACAAGGAGCAATATAGGACACATTCAGGCTTTTTCCTGCACTTTATAGGAACGAGAGGATAGAAGTCCGTCTTGTTAAACGTCGTGAATATAATGAAGAGACAGTTCGGTGGGCAGATGCTGTTATATCAGCAGGAGGTATGACTTTATGGTGGGAAAGTATTTATTTCGGTATGTTTTCATAGATAAAGTTTCAAATTTTGCAGTGTGTGAAGCATGTAGAAGAGGTATGCCCATTTTGGAAATTGATTGCTGATGCAGCTGTCAGAAAATAGGAAAAAATGCAATGGTTGTGACCATCCTCTCCTCCTCTAGTATTTGTAGCATTAGGAGGTGATTGCCAATGCTTGCCCACTTTGGAAAAATTTAGTATCGTCTTGTGTAATGCTATTGTGAAGTCTATCGTTCTCAACTGAAGAGGACGAAATGTTTGCTGTCATATGAATGCATATAGCCCTAAACCCTACTCTCCCATTTTAGGTGTGAAAGACTAACGTTTTACTTTTGCCTTCCCAAATATTTTCTTACTTTCACACTTATTGCAGTGACTGGAGTATCTAATTGGATGGTACAGGTAAAAGTATGTAACTTCTGAGCAGTCTGTGTAGCTGCTCAGAGCTTTTCAAACGACCAGCAGAGAAACTAACCTGATTCTTTCTTCGTAACATTGGGTGGCAGCAGTTTGTTCAGTTTGTGTTTTGCTGTTGTTCAGCTTTATTTTGTTTTGCTGCAAGTACTGCAATGTGTTCCTGGGGTCTGATTCATGGTCAGAAAAGCGATGAGGTGCAGCTCCGTTCTGCCTTTCTCTCCTCCCCCAGAGTCCACCTTCCTCTTGGCTAGTGGTTACCACACTCAGAATTCGTGAGAGAGATGCGTGTTTATACCTGAAATACCCTAATAATATGCTTCTGTAGATTCAGTAGACCCTTCTAAGTTGGAGATTAAAGGGAGGTGTGAATGTTTCCTCTGCCCGCTTGGCTATGGCAACCTCTGGCACAGTTATGAAGCCAACAGCTAGGAAATAGTAATGTTTTAAGCAGCACCATCCAAGTTTTTCAGAACTCGTATCTTGGTGCAAAGACTGTTTTGGATTATAGCTGCCATTCTGCTTAAGGGACAGGAAGGAGATTGCTAGATACCTGAAGAAGCTAGGGGCACTTAGATTTCTATTTAAACAATTTTATCTAAGACCTTTTTTCCCAGTTGTGTGTATTTGGAACCAAATAAGAACTTTAAATTCTGCCTTCTAGCAGAAAACTGCTAAAGCCACTGTTTTCATGCGATTCACAGTAAGATCTGATGTAATATTGTTTCCTGTCTCATGTGGTTCTAATAGCAATATTTTCTAATTTTTTTTTTTTTATTAAAGAGAATTTCTCTTACCTGCTCTTCTCAAACTTGCTTCTGCCAAATTCAATTGCCTGGGTATGTGTAGCTGGGAGAGGAGTAGTATTTTTTTCAATCATTTTTGTCATCTTGAGTTTGGTTGTCACTATCCTATTTTAAATAGTTTCAGTAATTTTCCTGTTCCATTTTATATTTGTGCAACTTCCCTAATCAGTTGTTGATAAAAAAAAAAAAAAAGCGGGTCATAATAACGCTTCAATCTGTGAGAGATTGTTTTGTTTGGAATGCTAGAATGTTAAGTGAAACTAATTTTTTCTTTTGCTTTTTTTCTTGTAGGTGATGGTACAATGTTGTTGGCAGCCAGTAAGGTCTTTGATAAATTTAAACCAGTTATTGGAGTAAATACTGATCCTGAAAGGTATGACTACACTTGGGAGAGCAATACTTCATTTAATATCAAGCACGTTATGTATCTAATTTTTCATGATGCTCAACACAGGAAGAGAAGCCTTGAATTTGAAGTTTTGGTAACGTTAGATGAAACTGCTGTGCAAAATGAGAATTCCTTTTAAACTGAAATGGCTTTTCTCATCTTCACAAACAACCTTTTACCCTACAAAATCCAGTACCAGTAAGTATGGTACCGTGTGACTTTATGCTGGCTCCAGAGCCAAGTAGCAGCATGTTTGAAAGGACGTTGACTGTGCAATTATTTCAGTAGTAGGAACTGTTTGGAGTGATAGTGTAACATAACTGATTGTTAATTGAAGTAAATGAATGTATATTTTAAGTAGATATTCCCAGAATGCCTTTTCAGGATGTGCTTTCTTGCTTCTGGTCACTCTGTAGCCCAGTACAAGTGGGTGCCCTTGGACCAAGGTTTGGAGTATGTCTAATAAGATGGGTTTGTATTCTACTTACAAAACAACGGCAGGGGTCTGTTACTTCCCCCCAGGTGGCTTTTTACCTCCCCCATTGGTGTTTGGCAACATAAATGTCTGTTCTAGTGGACTATAGAGATAAAGTGAACCTATTACTACTTTTTTATTACAGAAACATACACATTGAGTTATCCTCTCTGGACTGAAAGGACATTAAGTTACTGCTTATCCAAAACTTTTTAATAAACTGCCACAGCTGTGTTCACACACAAATGTGATGGTGCTCAGAGCCAGTTAACTTGCATTCCTAACCAAAAGCTCCAGGCTACAGGTGGCAGTAGAGAATAGTGACTGGAAAATGCAGAACTCTTTAAAATAATAATAAAAAAACCTAAGAGTGGTGCCTGAATACTCAGAAACTTAATGTGTTTATCAAGAAGGTAAATCCTATTGGAAATCTGATAGGGCCTCAGCAAGTGATGTTTTTTGTTGCTGCTGTTTTTTTTTTTTTTCCCCTCACCCCTGGTTCTTTCATGTAAATCATATTATACTTCAGAGGACACTGTCTCCTCAGCCTGTCAATGGCATTTGGTTGTCCTCTTATAACTCCACATCAGTTGCATTCACCTAGCAATAAGATTGATTTGAGCAGGTGGGTACAGTGCATTTGTACTGCCTGATTGGTATAACCTTCAAATGGATGGCAAGTGAAAACTCGGAATTCACCAAAGCTCTGTCTGCTGAGACTTCCAGACTTGAGTTTCTGCTTCTGATGTTCCCTATTAATCTAATCTTAGCTGATGAGAAAGTGATGGCCAAAAGGGTTTAATTCTTTCCAGACCCGACTCCTCTTCCAAAACTTTTCAAATGCAGTGAATAGATACTCTACAGTATCAAGTCTGAATAGCAGGGTTCAAATAACAACTGCCTTCAAGTTATCGAATATCATTCATGAAAGGGGATTAGTGTTTGGTGCTCTGGCTTGGACATGAAATTCTTTTGACCTTAGGCGTGTCACTTACCTGTCTCTTGTCACTAACTTATCTATAAATGGAGAAAATATTCTTTCTAACTTGGAAGCTTTATTAAGCTGAAGTTCTTTGCATAGAACTATGGTGACAGGAACTATATTAGTACCAACGTATTTCTACAGGATTACTAGATGAACAGGGAGTTTTTAGGGGAAACGTGGAAGAAAGCTCATCATGCCTCCCCCTACTCTTCCTTGGGCCTCAAAGATCTGTATCGTTGCTGATGTGCTATGTATGTAGGAATAGTACAGTATCATAGGTGCAGTATCATAAAGGTCAAAAATCTAGCTTTGCTTCATGTAACCAAAAGAGCTGGTTTTTGTAGGGACCAAATCTCAGAAGTTATATGGTCATTTTCATTGTCTTTATTCCTTTTTTGCTTCCAGATCAGAGGGCCACTTATGCTTGCCTGTGAGATATACACACTCTTTTCCTGAGGCACTGCAGAAGCTTTATCGTGGTGAGTTCAGGTAGGATTCACCGATCTTTGGTTTAAAAAAAAAAAAAAAAACCCATGTATTATGACAGGATTGATGAGGTTCAATTCCTAAGGGACAGATGATGCCTCAAAAATCTTGATGCCTCAAATTCTGTAGATGTGTACCCTATTGAAGAATGGATTTGTGGTTGACTGTGGGATTGTTTTACAAAGCATAAAACTGGCTGTGACCTTCAGCAGTTGATTGACTTTTCTGAATTACCAAACGTGTGAAGAAGGAACTGTAGATCTTGTGAATAATGCATTTTTAACACTTGAAAGCATTCTTAGTACAATGATGGGCCATGTTAATAGGTTTACATAATTAGGAGATGGTCAGTGTGATGCTGCTGAGGTTTTGGTGACTTACGTAGAACAGCTTAAATGGTGTTACCAGAGTAATGTTAGTGAGAACTTGTGGTGTATTCTTTTTTTTTCATGCTGAAGTTAACTTGATGCTTCAATACTCGCTATTCTTACAAGAGAAGAATCTCACTTGAATTAGGCAGGAAGCAATATGAATTTTTAAAAAGCACACTAGGGGAATTTTTCATAGACTCTTATTTAAAAAGAGATATTCTGTGCTGTATTAACATTCTGGATTGTTTATACAGTGGCAAACCATCAAACAAATAAGTCATTCACATAAAAGCATTGCAAATATTTTTGTTTATGCTTCTAGTATATTTGTGGCTTGATTGAAGTGTAACTTTATTTGTGGCATAGTAGAGGAGGCTTCTAGAATAGGTTAATACAGTCATCAGGATTCATTACAGATAACTGAATGGTGCAGTCGGTGTTACTAAGTTAAAAGGCACTTTTAACTCTGATATCCTGAGACCTGGGGAACAGAAGCGTTAAACTGTCCATCATGTTAAGTGATTTAATTAAATCTGGTAGTGTTAAGGCCGGTAACCTCCTTGATACCATAACTGCTTCTAATGTTTTGTTGGATGCCGTGTTAGACTTTACAGTGCTGGCACTCCTGTTGTTGCTCGTTATGGACATGAAGCCTCATCAGAGCTAAACAGCAAGGATTTTCCTGGTTATTGTTCTGGAATAAGTTTGAAAACTTACATCCCTTAGCAAGGATCTGTTCAGCACAGGGAGCATCTATTCTTGCTGGAGTCTTCAGAGCAACTGTTACGTCACATCCTTTCATTATGTGATTCGAAGCATAGCCAATGTGCATTCCCTATGTATCTCGATGTCGCTGTGCTGTCCTGCTCACCTTAGCAAGGACTTCAGCACAAAGCCTTCTGTATCTGCCTTTGGAAACAGCTGAGCTACTCACAGTAGGAGGAGACTGGCTGTATCTTTGATATTTATTCTCAGGTGGAGACCTGGGAGGTGTCACTCAGAGAACTGTGGAAGTGTCTGCTTGGCTGCAGTAGCTCTGTTTTTTTCCCCTCCTTCCTCAGATTCATATTGCACTCATATCTTTGTGCGTGTCTGCATAGGCCTGAGTTTACAGGGATGTGTGGTAGTGCTAAGGGAACATATTTCCTGCTCCCATGTTAGGGGGAAGTAGTTTACACTTCCTCTCTATGTCCCTTCCCTACAGCTTGTCAGTTTTCATCTCAAGTTTAAGAACTTAAGGAGAAACTTGGGAACCAGTGATGAAGACTGAGCTCCGCAGTACTGGTGCATGCCCTTTATGTGACTTCCCTTTTTTGTTTTCCGGTATGAAATATTTTGAACTGGTTTGAGTTACTGAACTGTTTGATCTAAATAGAACAAGTTCAGTCGCAGTCAAAACCTAAGCTGTAGTTGAATATAGATCTCGCTAGTTATAAACAGCACCCTTTGAGGCTTTCAGAACAGGGAAAGTCATTAGTTGCAAGCAAGGTATAAATCTGCTACCAGTTTGAAGAAATTAGAACAGTATCTCCTTAAATGACTCACTGGTGGTGATATGTGTGCATTCTGTTCAAACACAGAGAAAGCAAAACTGAGGGATGAGTTTGGCAGGGAACAGCATGGATTGGGAGAGAGGGACACTGAGACTAGCAGAAGACTTGGAAGTCAGGATGTGGAAGCTCAGCTGAAGCTAATATTTCAAAAGTGAGGTAGAGACTTGGTTGAGAAGTCTACACCACTTGAGTTCTGCCAGCAATATTTTCATTTCCCTTAAATAACAGAACAACATTGAAATGTAAATTGCCCCTAGTTAAAACATCTTCTGGAATATTTAGGCTAGAGTGTTTGTTTTACTGTGAACACCTAAGAACACATTTTACTGGAAGATGTTAATTTAGTGAGCTAACAGTCCCAAGCCCCCCTGCAACAGGAAGGAATTAGCCGAGACTGAAGGAATAGCAGTCTGAACAATGGCAGTGGTAGTTTGTAATTCTTAGGAGAGTAACCAGGAGTAAAACGGGAGGAATGGATTACAACAAAGCGGTCTGAAACATGCTGGGGATGGAAATTGAAGAGATGCAAAGAAAACTAAATTTTCACGGGAGAGAAGGATCAAGAAAACTAGCATTGTTCTGAAAAAATGATCAAGTGCAACCTTGGAATGTAGTTGAAGATAGACTTGAGCTCATTACTTTGCCTTTAGGAAGCAGAAATGTGAGAGAGAATGAAAATTCAGCCAGATTGCAGACAAGGAAGCATACATGTATAGGAATGAAATTGTTCCCTACAGTAGTGGAAGATCAAAGACATTGTAAGCAACGGGGAAAGAAAACAGCAGACGATACTGAGAGCACCAGACTGACTTTAGTCACCTTTCACTAAGAGCAGTAAGTTCTCAGATTTCACTCTTAGTTCTACTGATAATGAATGAAAATCTCAGGGCAGAATAGGAAGAGATTGGGTTGTTGATGACTTGGCAATCTTTAGATTTATTGGGCCTAAGGAAACTTCTTAAATAGGTGGGTAACTGAATGAAACTGTCTGAAAGAGCTTTTGGTCAGAACTCCTGAAGGGCAGGGAGGTGCCAGTGACTGGAAAAGGGATCGTCTTCATTCTCCAGGGATGTGGCAGTCACCTTAGTGAAAAAGTCTGTGTAAACACTTACCTTGTAGTCCTGTATAACGATCAACATCAAGACTTATTACCAACAAACAATGCCAGGCTATCCGTGTTTCTTTTTATGGCAGTAAACAGTGTAGCACTATCTCAGAATAGTAGCTGTCCTATATGCTCATTTAATAGGAGTTTGGACACATTCTAGCATGAGTCTTGTAAGGAAGCTAGTGTAATAATATCTATCCTGAGCTGCCTGCCTGGCTGCCTAAATTGTACTTGGAGTATAAGGGCATGTAGCTAATTATACTAAGGGCTTATTGAATGCAGCTCTACAGGGATGTCCCTTGGTTTTGGTAGTATCCAGTATTTTCTTTCATGATCTGGATGAAGGAGTAGATAGTACATTTATTTAAGATAAATGCTTGTAATTCATGCCACCTTTAGGAGAACAGGATTAAAATCCAAATAGACTTTGACTGAATTGCAAAGCATTTATTTCAATGTCTCAAGACACATGCAAAGTATTGCATTTACTGATTAGAACAATCGGATGCACAAATGCGTGATAAAAATGACAGGTAGCTGTTTCTCAGAAGTATCTCGAATTATAATGGATTGGAAATTAAATGTAAATCAGTGTCAGCATTGCAGAAAAAGCAAACATTATACCAGTTTGTCTAAACACAAGTCATAGGTAGGACATGTGAAGTAATTCTTCTTCTTTATCTAGCACTGGAAAGACCTCAAATGGTATACTATGTGCAGATTTGAGTATTGATGTTTCAGAAGAGCAACAGCAATAAAGGTGATTGGAAATTCCCCTTCCTTCTCCCCCTAGAAGTTCTAGGAAACTTGATGCATTAAGGTGCATGGAAGAGAAGTGGGTTTGTCCAGTTCAGAAAAGATTGAGTGAAGTTACGGTATATATTTGAAGATTAAAGTTACTGCAGGACAAGGTGGTGTCCTAATTCAGGAGATAATGTAGTAGTGGATTTTTATCCAGCCTAAATCTTCCTTACTGTTATTCCATGAAAAATGTAAGCTGGTTACTGTGACCCAAATGTCAACAACGTGAACTTGGAAAAGCTGTGTTCAAAACATTCCATTGTGATTTGCCTTCTGAATCGGAACTGCTACTACTGCTTTGTTTGATATAGTCTGTAAATCATAAGAGGGAAAAGGCATTGATTTCTGGGGAAAAAACAAAAATCTGAATGATGCAACAGCTTAATGAAGAATGACTTTTATATCCTTTTGTTCCTTCCTTTGAACTTCTCTCTCAAGCATCCTAAAAAACTTGTCAGGCCAGGAGATTATTAAAATGATAGGCTACTTACGGCCCTTAGAGGAAGGAATGGATAGAGCTGCTGTTCAGGACATCTGCAAATATAAGCAAAGTGATGGCAAAAACCCAGCAGCTATTGGTGCATAAATGCCTAAGAGTCTGTTGTTCTCAAACTCATTGTGTCGGTCATTAATTCATAAGTTAGGATCATATGCCTGAAAAGATAAGATGTGTCATGTAGTATTTGTGGATTTTTTTTGGCCAGTGTCATCTTATTTCACACATACAAAAATCATTAGCTAGCAAATTGATAAATGTAAAATATTTACATTTGAATATGATTGATTTTCTAGATTTAAAAGTGAGAGTGGAAGCTGTGAAACTTGACAAGTGACTTTGAATGTACAAACTTTTGATCTTAAAATGCTCTGCTTTAAGAGTGGACCAGTGAAACTCTTCTATCTTCAAGGCTCTGATCCTAGGTAACTTTACAGTGAACGTTTCAGCTGCTGATTACCAATTTCTTTCTCTCTTTAAGGTGGCAGTGGCGGCAACGAATCCGACTGTATCTTGAAGGAACCGGTATTAATCCTACCCCTGTAGATTTACATGAACAGCAGCTAAGCCAGGAGCAACACAGCAGGGCTCATATAAATGAAAGATTCCAGGATCAAAGTAGGTTGAAGTTTGTGACAAGTATGTAATCACTTTGCCATGATAACTTGGAGTAGGAAATACAGATTTATAGGAATTCGTGAAGTATTTGAAGTCTGGTTGCTGCCAAGCTCATTCAGATGCAAACATTTGAGAAGTGGGGGAGAAATGACTCTTCTTAGCCCAGACTCTTTGAAGTACCTTAAGTTTTTATGTGCTTCTTCTGCACTGTACGCTTATAAGTAGAATTTAGTATTAACAGTTAATTTGTAGGCTTTTTTCCTTTTCAGTATGTTACCTACTGGAAAAATATTTAAGCTTTTTAAACGGTGTCTCTTAGTGTTACTATGGAGATGTAGAGTTACTATGTAAACAGTTTACCATGGAATTAGATGATCGGACTAAAACTCCATGTATGTGCTCTTAACTTGTGCTGAATTTGAGGTAGGTTACCTCACAATTGAAAAAAACCTATGTCAGACTCCCTGCAAGTGGCTATATGCATACAGATACTTGTGTAAGAAGGTCATGCTGTTAAGTTTTTCTTTTTTTGTTGTCGCTGAAAGAGGGGAAATCTCAACAAGGAAGTGGTATTCTGTTTAATTACTAAATACTTACAGAATTTATTTGTACATTGAGATGAATTATAACCTTAAAAGGAGGATTGAATAGGATTAGAATGTTTTAGAAATGAGAATTTCTGCCTAGGTAATTCCTAAGTAATAAAAACATTTTAGTTGTTTTATTTACGGTGGACTGAAGAGAAGTTTCTGACTTTGTTTCTAGTCCTGGATTTCCCCACTGAGAAGCCTTTTTAGTCAATGTGAACGCTATCTTAATCCTCATTAATTAGTGGCATGTAATCTAATTCTTTGAAATTCATCCAGAACATCTGTTAAGTCACTGTCAGTGAACTTCACTAAGCCAGGAGTGACCACTGACAGAAGAGGAGAGTTCAACCTGTCTGGTTAACCACAAGTTGCAGGAAAAACAATATCTGAAAATGTGTCATTGTTTTATTGGCCTTGGTTCAAATACTTGTGGTCTCCAGTAAAGGACTGTAACTGGATACAGAAGGAATTGGTGAAAAAATTGAGTCCTTGAGGAAGACTGAACACTGAGAATCAAGGTCTAGAATGTAATCCCAGGCAGCAGACTGCATTCTCCAGTGAGTCATGAATTGTTTTTGAAAACTCGGGTTTTAGAGCCATGATTTGAAATGGCTGTATTCAATACCTGCAGGATCTGAGATTTCTGGTCCGCATCTTTTGCCAGTGAGAGCACTCAATGAAGTCTTCATTGGGGAATCTCTCTCATCCAGGTATGTTTAATTGTTTACTATGGCAGCAAGGCACAACTGACTTTATTTTTAATGACGTTGCAGTGGCTGATTGGTAATGGGAAGTCTTTACTGTGAAATTTCTATCTTAGTCTGTGAATATATAACACTGCGTTGCTGGTTTCAAAGTGTGTATTCAAAGATTTTTTTGGTGCAGTGATATGAATTGATATTTTTCCCCCTTCCTGTCTGGCCATGCCATGTTTCATTATTCCTGGCTGTTTCGTTCCCTTTCCATTGTTTTACTTCTTTCCTGGCTAGTTCTTACATAATCAGATGCCTTCAATTGTTGTCTTTACAGTGGATTGAAGATTTTGATTGTCTGTCCTTAAATTGTCTCATCCTGCATCCTTTCCTAAATATCTTATTGTAAGCTTAACGTGACCAAACTGAAATCCTAGTAACTTCTCCTTTCCCCCTTTCTGTCATTAGAGGCAGAGGTAATGATATCCCTTTGGCTGAACATTTGTTATTACAGGAAAATGTCTGACGCTTCCTTTCTTGTCTTAAAAAAACAGTTTATATCAAATCCTGGTACTGCATTCTCCAAAATACCTTTAAGACTATCCCTTTCTGTCCTGAAGATAAAGGCATCTCTGCTAATCAAACAATAATAAGGAGGATGTGGGGAATATGATTGGGGCTGTGGGAAAGGAGTTAAAGTATGATCCTCAGTCAGGACTTTTGGCCAAACTTTTACTTGTATTTTACATCCCTTTCCCTTTTACTCTGTGTCTGTCTTTTTTTTTTTTTTTTTTTTTCTCCAAAGCCTTTAGAGTGTAACTTCTTCTTGTGTTTGTACAGTGCCTGGGACACTGTGGTTGCTGCTGGAAACAGTATAAATGTTCCATGAGTGCTTTATCTTCCATCTGGACTCCAGCCTCAGACTGGCAGAAGGAATTAGTCTCAAACAGATACAAATTTTATTTTCTACTAAATCAAACCTAATTTTATCAAGATGCTAAAACATTTTTCTAACACATAGTGATAGAGGAAGACAAAGCTGTTTCCCAACACTTTACAATAACTCTCTACTTCTGAATGCCAGAAATACACTGTGCTCTTCGGTTCCAGTATATTTGACAAGCACTGAGGAACACAATAGACATAGAAACAAATTTCTAGTAGCAAAGGTTGTGTATAGCATATACACATATAGGTGCTTCTGAGGGCTTATTCTGCATAACAGTTGAGAAAACAAGGAAACTGAAAAAACTTTTCATATCCAGTTTGCAAAAACTTTGTCTTAAACTGAATCAAACTGTGCATCTGTGTTCTTAATTTGCTTCTAGTTCTTTCTTCTTCCCGTATTTTCAAGAGTGAGTGTGCATAATGCTCTTAGTCACCGTCTAAACTGTTTGACACCAAATGTTCAAGAACTGTATTCTTCTCAGTCTATCCAGAGTGAAACTTTCATCACTCAAAGCAATTCAGTAAGCTCCTTCATTTTACTAAGAAGGGTGCAACTCAGTCATGCTGAACACAGTGAATGTGTTTTTTCTGAAAGGTCTTCTGCTAATCTGAAGACTATATCATATTGTTGGATTAGACATTATAAACGTCAGCAACTGTAGTTTATAAATATGCACTTAGATGTTCTGAAACTTAGGAAAAGAGACGTTCTGGTTGCCATAGGCCTAATATTCGTATCTCATGGACTTCCTTACTAATAATACCGTACAGATTGATGGTTGTGTTCCAAGACTCAGTACACTGAGTTTTAGGAAGAATTTGCCCTGGAGAGAAACTAAGCCTGCTGACTGCAGTCAAGCTGAAACGGTTCATGAAGAATCACAGTGGATTTTTAATCACTGAAGTGATCAAGAGTTCAGCTTGAAGCCGTGCTATTACTCACTGATGTTGGAATTTTTTACCTCTTAGTATTCCCTGATGTAATTTTATGAGACCCAATCACAGCATAAGCACAGTTTATGCGGTAGTTCAACAGTTATGCAAGGAAGGTAATGTATATGTAGTTTCATTTGTAAGTCCAGCAAACCCTTCTTATATACAAAGTTATTGCCAGATGAACTGCGGAGTTCTTTGCACAGAATTTAATATGAAAAGTAGCTGCAGGAAAACTACCTAAAAAATTAATGCTGCAAATCACTTTGTCTATTATAAAAACTGCTATAAAACAGTGAATCAAAAGTGGCTGCCAAATCAGAAGTACACTGTACAAAGCCTGCAAAATTGTCATCTATGTTTAAAACTGGCCCCCCTAAATTTTTATGTGCCTGATAAGGCTGTGTGTTCTGTCTCATTCAGGGAGAACTATAAGTCCTGCAAACCCAGTTTTAAATTCTCGCTTCATAGGGCCTCCTATTATGAGATATCAGTTGATGATGGTCCATGGGAAAAACAGAAGAGTTCAGGGCTTAATGTATGCACTGGAACAGGATCAAAAGCATGGTAAGTTCATGTCTCTGCTTTGACAGAAAAGATTGTTTCAGATAAACTAGCTTGTGATGAATCTATTTCGCTTAAGCGTCTTACCCATAGAGGCCCTCTTGGGCTGTCGTTAAGTCTGTGCATGGCACAGCTATGTCCAAGTGTTCTCATTGTGGTTCAAAGCTGTCTCAGGTGTTTGGGAAGAGCAGAGAACCCCACACTTGCAAGGGTGAAGCAGAGGGGGAGAAGAATAAGAAGCTGAGGGATTGCGACAGAAATTTACCTTAGCTGTAGCTTTTGTCAGGTGAAGGAGGTTAGATGCTCCGTGTAGAGATGACTCATGTAAGGGGGGTTTCCCTGAACTGCTCTTGTTGGCTAAACCAAAAATACTTAGATGTTACAGTCTGGAAAACTTATAAAATCTAAGCTCTTAAGTAGAATGGGAAAACACGTGCTTGGAAACCGTGTTAACAGTGTTCTCTGGCACATGTATTGTCCGTTCTCCTTCCAACCCTTTTTCAAACTTAATTGAAAAGGCACAGTTTCTTTGCCAAAGTGCTTCACTAAAATGAAGGACATGTCTAAGTGAAATTACACTAGCTCAATCAAAGGGTTAATGTTCTTAACTTCAACTTAAACAAGCCACATTACTGCATGTAGGTATAATCAATGTAATTTTCTGAGGTGTGAGAAACGTACAGTGAGAGCCTCTTTCGTTTGGAAATCTGGCTGTGCTTATGGTTTAAAGTTGTACAACAGGGCCTTGGATTTATGTGGCAGCCTAAGATGGACTAAAACTGAAGCTTTTACTGAAATACAAAAATGAATATTCATGTTGTAACTATGGTTACTGGGTTTTAGTTTTCATTGTACTTCAGAATCTTGTATTCAATGAGCATAACTCGGTTGTGGAAGCTGCCAAGGATGAAACTGGCAGATTGCTGGGGGAACTTTCCCAGTGTTTAGTACCTCGGGAGTATACCGCCTTAGCCCAAAACTGTTCTTACAGATTTTATCTGTTGCTTATATATTCTGTGCTGAGCAATCCCAGAAGCTGGGACCAAATCCCAGGACTGTGCATCTTCAGTGCCACAATCAGTATTTACTGCTGACTTCTCTAAGCTTACGCTGTGGCTTTGTGATTCTGGCATGCTGTGGTGCGCTAGGGACCCAGCCTCAGAAAGGTGACCTTCCTTAGACTGTGGTTAAGGTGGTCTCTTGGGAGTTCAGGCATCCTCAGCCCGAGAGAATTTAAATCCTCCAAATGCTTCCTTGTGCTGCTAAAACTTGCATGAAAAGTAGCTAGTTAGGAAAGAACAACTTTGAACTTTGGACTTGGCACCTCAGTTTCTCCTGAGCATCTGCTTGGGCTGGCAGGTAGGCAAGGAGTATAAGAAGAGCAAGTTTGGATGAAAACTCTCATCGTTTTCTGGAGTCTGCTAGGTGTGTGGTGGTTGCCTGTTGCAGTCTGAGAGGTGTTTTACTGCCACTGCAGAAGTACTAAACACAGGATCGTAGGTTCCATTGAGACCTGGGCAGCTGAGGTTTTTAAAGCACTGCTGTGCAAGTGTGTGGTTGGCACTGAAATGCTTTTTGAACCTGGGCACAGGGAGTGACTGTTTTTTACTGATATTTAGACTTGGCTCAAACTGAGGCTTCTTGCTGACTTGCTGTGTATCCAAATGTGGCAAAAGGAATAAGTATTTGATCTAATTGTTTTCTGTCTACACTGTAATTATTACACAATTCAAGCACACAGCTTATGGTACTCTTATACTGACAAAAGGGCGTAATATTTGTAAACAACCGTTGGGTTCCATAAGTTAAAAATAACGTGAGGAATTAGTTTGCAAGAGGTGGACTGAAGGGATTAAAAAAAACACACAACCTGTACAACTGTCAGATTTCAATTTTTTTAATGTAGAGGTGTACTGCTTAGCAAACTTGTATTTCTCTGTCTAGGTCCTATAACATTAACAAGGTAGCAAACCAAGCTGTTGAAGAGATCCTTAGGATTGGTGAGTGAACAGTGTGGCCCTACTGGCTAAGTTTATCTGAAGATATTCCTATCTAATTGGGGCTCTCTTTCTTGGCTCAACAGCTAAAAAGCATGGAGGTTTGAATCTGCCATTGAATGCAGAACTAGTACAAAAAGGTTAGTGAAAATGACAAGCTTTCTTTGAATTATAACAACTTCAACCAGTTCATTTTAGTTGTACTCTAATACTCAACACTGGATTTGTTATTTTAGCACTCTTGCACTATTAGTTTCTTAAATACGTTTAAACTTTGAAAAATAGGCTTTCTCATATAAATATATATATACATACACATACACACAGATATATGTATCTCTTCAGGAGAATACCAGTTCTGAAATTCAAAACAGCTAATACTTAATCACCTGAAGAGAGCTGGTGAATGTTAGTCATGCAGTGGAACTGAAGTAGATCTTCTGTATAGTTAAATCCTTTCTAAAGTGAAGGTTATTTAACATCTGGTAAGACTCGGGTATTTTTGAAAATAATTTTCTCTGAAAAAACTGATGGCTGCTTTCTCTACTTACAGTAACAAACGATTACAATGACTCCCTGCTCTATAGCCCAGAAGAACCAAAGATGCTTTTCAGTATTCGAGAACCTATTGTAAACAGAGTTTTCTCAAGTAGTCGGCAGCGTGGCTTCTCTTCAAAGTAAGTGTTGGCTGAAGCAATTGCTGAAGAGTTATTTCATTCTGTGTATCTTGTTGAAGTATGAGTAACCCAGGAGTTTTCACTTGAAGTCTTTCACCTCCCAGTTTATGTTTTGAGGAGCCTGAGTATTTTCATAGGAACAGGAAGAGAATGTTTGTAAGTTGTTACACCCCTTTGTAGTGTTTGATTCATGCACAATCTTACAGAATAAAAGAATTGCACTGTGACCAGTTTTGCGTGTGTGCCCTCCCCACCCGCTGTAAGACAGGCATTGACAAAGTGGAGTAAATTCAGCAAAGGGCCACTGAGGTGATTAGGGGGCTGGAGCATGATATATAAGGGATAAACTCAAAAGGATCTGTTTTTGTTTAGCCTGGTTGTAGATGAGACTGAGTTAGATTCCTTTCAGAGGCACACAGCAAAATGACAGGAGGCAACAGCCACGATTTGTAGGGTGGAAAATCCTGACGAAATGTAAGGAAAAAGGTTTTCACCATGAGAAAGGTCAGCCACTGGCATAGGCTGCCTAGAGACTGTCATATCTCAGTCCTTGGGAGATAGTCAAAACCTGACTGGGCAACCCTAAGCAACCTAATCTGTCTTTGAAGTAAACCCTGCTTTGAGTGGAAGATTAGACTAGTCCCCTTGTAATCTAAACTAATTTGGTCATTCTAATTTGGGAAACTTTACTAGAGTTTGCCGCAAGCAAGTCAGTATGAACACATTCAACTGCTAGTTGGTGTAATTTGAAAGTTAACTAAAGAACAGTATGATGTTTCGATGTTAACCAGATGTGTTCAAACTTAGGTCAAAACAAATATTTAAATAAGTTTTGAAATATTATTTAAAAAAAAAATCTTACTTTGTCTTACCTCGTATGGGAGAACTTGAAGGAGACCCAAATTCCCTTTCTTTTGACCCAAATCAGTATTATAACAAATCTCTTATGACCTAGTGAAAAAAAGACATATCTGTCTGTTGGACCTAAATGTTACCATGTTAGAGAAGTTTTCCACTGAGTGTGAGCAGTGTCTTTAAATGTTTACTGCTTCTTTTGATTTGGGAGGGCTCAAAGGTAAGTAAATCTTTTTAAGACAAAGTAAGAGGAGGGGTTAAAATATGAGCAAATAACTACATTTTTCACCCATGGATTCTACAGGCTTCCTGTCAAAGTTTTCTGCATGAGCTGTACTATAAAAGCTACAATGGAGAGACAAATCTATGCAAACACACGTCTGCCTATTATTTCCCTTTTGAAGTAGTCTTTGCTGCCTGTCACTGCTGGTGTTCAGCTCTTGCTACTAAAGATCTTCTATTTGTTCTTCCTGTTTTTTGAGATACGTCAGCTGCCCAGAGTGAGATGGAGTGGAACAAACTTTCAAGTTCCTCTGCAATGTCATGTTCCAGCGTTTCCTCTATCTCGGTGACAGTCTGAACATGCTCTTACGCTAGTGCTCAGGCACAAAGAGACAGGTTATCTGCAGAGAACCAGTATCTTCATTTGCAGTGGTAGACAGTACCTACTTATTACAGGGTGTCTGTGGTATGGCTGTATGGTATGCTGTTATTTCTGAGCATGTCGTAGTCACCTTCATGTGAGACCATCTGGTCGGATATCCTTTTGTAAGCTTCCAGAGCTTTTTTTGGAGGGCATGTTTCCTTAAGTGCCACCTCTGTCTCTAGAGAACTGCCTGCATCCTCATATTATGTGGATGCTTTTGAGACGTTTGGTTTTCTTATAAAGAGTAATGCAAAGTGTTGAGTAGCTTGCTGGTTATGTAATTCATTTTGAATGCATAGAGGCAGCAGTTCTTTTGGCCTTCTTAGTGATGGAGACCGAGCTTGGAGATTATCTTCAGCTGTCTGATTGAAACAGTTTTTGAGCAGCGCCATTAGATCCTGGAACATGAACGAATTAGGAGAACACCTTGGTTTGCCTTCCCTGAAATTCACTCAGCCCTCATACTGGGTGGGTCTTGTACTTGCAGAGTCCAGGCTTCCTGAAGTGGTGGGTATTCTGACTAACAGCAGAAAGATTTCTTCAGCACACCTACTTGGATAAAAAGTACTGGGTTTTCATTCAGGTGTTGGGGTCTGTCTGAATCTTCTTGGTGGACATGGATCACTCCTGGTTACGTGCTTGACTGAAGGAAGCTGTGTTATCAGTTAGTTTTCCTGCAGAGGAACAGAGGCCCATCCTGCAGAGCCTCTACTCATCTTCAAAGAAAAGGCTCCTTGTTTTGTTCCACTTCTAACTTCTATTTTTTGCATGGTTATTGGAAATAAAAAGATTTGTCAGGGAGGCAAGTCTGATCCTGACATCTAGCAGAACATCTTTTGAGCCGTTTGAATCGTATAGTGTCCTTATTTGCTTTTCTACGAAGGTGACCACCTTGGTATCTACTCCCTAAAGTAGGAAGGTTGGAGACAACCGTGTAATCCTCAACTCTCAAACTCATTTATAGCACCTCTTGCTAAGGTTATAACAGATTTAGAATATCATTAGGACTTTGTCCTCTGCATTGGCAAGATCAAACTTGTCAGCAAGGATAATCCTGTGTGGTGCTTGCCCACCTCCCTACTTGCCATATGTCTGGCTGGCATGTGGATTATGTATCCTAAATGTTCTTGAGCTATTTCTAGACAGCAGTTACTTTGTGATCGTAAATAGGTAGTATATGGTAGGTGACTTAAGAGTCAGCTGCTGGACCTTTCCTGAGAGAATACGTAGACTAGCGGGAATCCATCTTAAGCCAAAAAGCAAGTTTTATTACAAATCATATGCATACATTACCAACTAGTTTACCTGGATCTGAGTTAAATCAGGGCATTTGTGACCTAATGTTCTTCCATGAATCAAGAGTCCCCTTCTTTCATGTCTGCGCGCTTAATTATGTGCTTTCTCAGAACAAAGATTTGCTGTACTGAGAAACCCAAAGGTCCTTCTAGCCCTGTATCTTCTCTGTGAGTCCAAAAGCATGTGCTGAGAGAAGAGGGTAAAAACGGGAAGCATACACTGCCTAACATCTGCCTCCCCTGCGCCAGGATTTTTCAGTACAGGTAGAGGTGGTTTCTGTGTATTCTCAGGGGACTTTTTTAATATGCTATTGTCCAGTTTCCCCTTTAAACTTGTACAACTTTTTAGCAGCTATGACATCTGACATCTGTAACAAGGAGTTCCACAAGTTAACACTGTATGAATAAAATGTCTCCTTGTATTTCTTCTGAACCTGTTGCTTGCTGCTTTTAATTGTCTTGCCTAATTTCACCTCGTCTGAAGACACAATTTCAGACGTGGTTGAAAACACAAATTTAACAAAGTTAGGGTGGGTCTTTATGTTTTTTTGACCCATCAAATAACCAATACTCGGAGAAATCTAGGGCAGAAAGTGTTGATGTGGATCCAGTTCTGAGCAGCTGATTAGTTTCCCATAGGTTAATGAAGTTGTACTGGAATAAAATTTCATAGATTTGTTTGACCTTTACATAGTGAGAATAGGATATGGTAGTTTAAATAGGGCTGATGGATAAAATACTGCATGACTGAGATGGAAGGTGTATTAAACAAATGTAATGATGCGCATGGGTGCAGTTTTGAGTAAGGTGTCTGAGGCTCATGTATGGAAAGTAACGAAGTAGCCTTGGGTACAAAGACCTGTGCTAACCTAGTAGTGGGGATGTGTGTGTCAGTGGATTGTGTGTGCTGTGTTCTTCTTAGGGCGATGCCAGACCGCTTAACACCCTTAACCTCTGAAACTGTGGCCGTAAGTCCAAGCTCTTAGGTTTGTGATAGATGCATCTATGAAATTTAAATCATTAGATAACTGTTGAATTAAATCTTGGAGATCAGGACAGTCTCCCTAGCCCGAGGTTTAAATCAGGAACAATCAAGCCTATCCACGTGAGACTGAAGACTTACAGTCTCTCTGGCATCACTACTAGTTCCCATCTAGCAGCATGGAAAAAGTTTGGAAAATTCCATATTTAATATTGCTTCTACTTTCTACATGTTTGAAAGGATAAATCCCAACAGTTGAGTTCATTTTCCTTTTAAAGGCTTTGCCCACTAGTAGAAGAGCTGCCTTAAAATACCTAGGCAGATTTTTTCTGTTAGCTTAGATAGTAGTCAAACTCATTTAATATTGACAGTAGAGTGTTGCCATACCTATTCATGGTATTGCCTGGCAAGCTTTCTGACCATCAGCTTTGTTACATGAATCATTCACTGAGAAGGGAAAGTCATTGCAAACACAAAGTAGAATATATTAATAGACAAATTATCCGGAAATCTCTAGTGTTGTTAGTTGAAACTGCATGTTCTAGTTAATATAAAAACTATGCATTAGAACTGCGCTAAATGTAAAACTATTTTCTGTAAAAAGGTCTGTTAAGCAAACCAGTAGTAAATGGGATTGTCTGCTAAGCTGCAGCTTTCAATATGGAGTGCTGTTACGTAGGCTGTCCTCACTCTCCTTTGGTATACAGGATTCTCTATTTGATCAGGTCCTTCAGACTTCTCTAGACTTTGCTATGTCTGTACAAAGTACTGATAATGATAGAGGATTCCAGTATTTAGTATCATGTTAAATTCTTCTGTAAGTATGCTGAGCAAATAATGTTTGTCCTGTGGGATCCTGGGTAATCGAGGGTTTATTGACCCATCCAAAGAATTGCCTGAGAACCAGCCTATGTATTCAAATAAATGCTTGTGTGAAGTATCTCATTTCTTAAGCAATTTAATGAGAAACTTATTTCTTATTTTTTTGCAGAGTCTGTGTCCGTTCCCGTTGTTGGGATGCATGTATGGTTGTAGATGGAGGAACATCTTTTGAGTTTAACGATGGGGCAATAGCTTCAATATTGATTGATACAGAGGATGCACTATGCACTGTTCTGCTGGAAGAATGAAGGACCCTAATGTGTTTTCTGTTGAAACAATTCTGGATTCAGAAGGGGAACTCCTGGAGGTAGACAGCACGTCACAATGCTGCATTAAGTTGGAAGTTAGCTTTTTTTGGATGCAAGAGCATTTGAAAGAAGCTTGAGACGCTTCTCATTCCTTGGGATGGGGAAATCTTAGAAACCTGATACGTAAGCTGTTTTGCATCTGGTGTAAAAGAAATGTATCAGAAGTCTTACTTATAACTTCAGTGAAAATTGACACTTCTCACCTGTAAGGCAAACATGAAAGAGCATCTTTTTAATCTTAGGTAGATGGGTTCAGGTATTAAGTCAGCATTAAAATATTCAGATGTACAGTTTTTTAATAGCAGTCTGGGACTGATGAAACTAAACACCTTCATACATACACTTTTGTAGAAAAGCTGACTGTCAGGATTGAGTGACTTGATGCAAGGATCCATAGATTTTTGGTGAATTCTGATACTGACCTAACAGAAATGGAAATGTGAACTTTTTATATGCTTTTCAAAAATTTTGCAACTATGTAGTTTTCATATAACTTGTGACAGATCTTTTGGCTCTGCCACTATTTTTTTCCTACTGTATAATTTGCATTAAAACTTTTGTCTGGTTTGATTTCTAGAAGCTCTATTCACATATCTTGAATGAGTTAGCTCTCACCTTTGCTTTTGGATAGCGACTTGAAACCTAAGGGTGTTCTTAAGCCCTTTAATGGGAATACATTACTTCAGTATACTTTATATAGTTAATGTATGCTCCTTCAGTGAATGGAGTAACTGGCTTGCAGGTGTTCAGTCACAGTAGCTTATGTAGCTATCACTAAAAAAGGCCTTGGTAAATAAAATGGTTTGGAATTGTGGCTTCTGAGCTGCTTTGTTGCTATAGAAGAATGAGATGTGCTAGGTGCTAGTAGTTGGAGTACAGGTTAACACCTACGTGTTTCCCTGTTTTTCAAGTATGAGTTTTTAACTACCACATAAAATGCTTCCTTTCCCAACCCCATGCTGAATTCTACTGGTTCAATTGGCAGCAAATTACCGCTAACTTCCTGTGCTTCTGATTACATATCTGTTGGGTAAACAAGTTTTTAATACAGGAAAAAATAAGCTCTATGATTATACAAGAGGGAAGTGACTTTTAAATAATGTTTTGGAGAAACTGTGAACTTTGACTGCTCTTGGAAGTTCATGCTGATTAACGCATACAGGAGAGGGCAGAATTTGAGAAAATGAATTTGCTATAGCTGGAACTCTTCTGGTACATGACTTGAAACAGTTTTTTCTGTCTACTACAGATCTATTTCCAGAAGGGAGATTCACTCAAACTACTTCTGAGTGAGGAGACTTTTGTAACAGATGTTCTTAGGTCTAATGGAAATATTCTACAGTGTGGTCAATCAGTGTATTTATTGCCAATCACAAAAATGTAAAGTGATTTTTATAGGTGGAGGAAGCAGATAAAGGGTTTCTCTCTGCTAGTTCAGTTTTTCTTTTTTTCTTTTTTTCTTCCTCCAGAGTTCACTCTGAAACAGAATTGAGAGGAAAAGGATTTGCCAAAACCATTGAATTCTAGAAAAATGGGATACTGATACAGCCTTTTCAATAAGCTATCACTGTTTTCTGCACATTTCATCTTCTAAGTGTGCTGGGGATTGAAGTGTTATTTACAATATCTGTTTGAGTTATCTGGATTGTAGACAGGAAGGAGAAAATCGAAGTAGTCATATTCTTTAGAAACTTTTTAAGTTCAGGAAACTATGAGAATAAAGGTCTTCTGTATGTCTAAAGTATCTGCGAAACTACTCTAAAGATGTGAAAGACTAATACTTCTTTAGAAAGTAGGCTGCACAGAAACTAGGGAATTAGTTATTCCTAATCCATCTATAACCAGATAAATGATGGTTTATATGCCTCTGTCTAGTATCCCAGTCAACATGCTGTTTAAAAAAAAAAAAAAAAAAAAGTGAAATGAATTTAGGACTTCCTAGGACTTTGCCACTAACTGTTAGAGCAGGGGCTTATTTGGGATTAAATATTCAGGTACTTAGTGTCCTTGAATACCTGCACAGATTAAAATTTATGGCAGAAGTTCTGTTCCCTACTTATTCAGAGACGTTTGTGTGCTGTAATGTTTAAATGGAGACTGAGTAGGGTGTCATCCTCTGAAACCTGTCATTCCTTATTTTGAATGCTGAGACCAAAAGGCAGTGTTTTCAAGTCCTACAGAGACCCTAAGTTTGATCTGGTTTAAGGCCAGAGGGTTTAGGATTTAGTAGGTGATTTCAGTTAAGTTCCTAACCATTATTGAGCGAAATGGAAACACGACCTACTCATGAGTGGCCTCTACTGGCTTTGTGTCTGTATTTAATTGCACTTCTGTTGAAGCATTTACTGGTGAATGCTTGATTCAAATGACGACGATGGGTCGGAGATCTGTAACAGATAATCAGTAAGCAGAGCTAGCTTCTAATAAGGAACCATAAAATCCTTTTTAAGAATCCTTTATTACAAAGGAGTACAGTACAGACAGTCTACCTGATAGGCAGTGTTCTGTGATAGGACTGAGCATTGGTTTAACACTGATTTGATCTGCCTAGTCTGGCAGTCGATCAACTCTGTCTCTCTTCTACCTGCTGATTCAGATCCCTGGTCTGTTTTCATCTAGTGCCAGTCCATACTTCTGTGTTCTGCTAAAATAAACCTGTAATTCTTTGCTTTTTTAAGTGGTGTTTATACATTATGTAATAAAATTAAAGTGTAATAGATGTTTGAAATGATCTTGTGCTTTAACTTTTTAAAATGTTTCATGTATTCAGCTGCCTTTAACTTACAATGTAGTTTTTCTATAATAGTTTCTACGTCTTTAAGCTTTCTCTTTCTGTAAGTAAAATGCAGAGGTTTATCTAACTTGTTTCTGTGGAGTTCAGTATTTTTTTGCTTGGGGCTACCACATAAAAAATTCTTCAGTTAGTTAGAAAAATGTCAATGCATCTTACCCAGAGGATTTGCATTATGTCTGGTATAGCTACCATCATAACCAATAAACCTGCGATACAGATGTGTGTACTGTGCCAGCATTTAATGATACTTCAGAAAAAGTTCAAAAGCTAAAGCCATACCGCTGCCCCAGTTCTGCATTTTTTTAAAGCGATGTACAGTCTATTAAATACTAAGTGCATTGGTGATGGTACCCTTTCTTTTTAAGCCATCATTGTTTATTCATTGCTTGGACAAATATTTCTGCTTTTCTTTACACATGCCACAAAGCTGGTGTCAAATCACCAAAACGTTGTCCCATCCCTCAGTCATTACAGGTACAGTATAGTAACTTTGTAGGTCTTTATTTAAATACAAGAGACTCATGTGGTTACATTGTGTTGAGGGAGAAGAATTTACAGCAGTGCTGTGCTGCCAGCTCAAGGGTTTTTTTCCTTGGTAAGCAGATTCATGCCATGAATTAAGACTGCAAATTGTGAAGTAGTAGAGTATCCAACAGCCTCCAAATTCCTACTGCTTCCCCACTCCAACCTTTCACAGGGTAATTTGCCCATAACTCTTTTGTAAGGATTACAAGCTGTCTAACAATCCTACATTCTCGCTGCAGCTCACCTCAACTATCCATGAATAAATTTACCACCTGCCTATTACACTCATCGGAATGAGGACAGTGTGTTTGCAGTCACTGGTACATCATGACCACAAGGTGCAAGTTTCATGCCAGGAAGCTAATGCCTGCGTGTGGTAGAATGCCACAAATTTGCTTATTCAGGAGGACACCAATGATAGAGCCAGATCAAAGTTTTATTTGATGTAATTGCCTCTCCTTATCCTTAGGTTTTTTTTTGAACAATTATTTAGCTTTCCATACCTGACTCCCTAATTAAAAAAAAAAAAAAAAGCTACAACAGTGCTGATTAGTGTTACAGATACAAGAAGTGGAATGATACTAAAAACTTAAGCTATTTAAAAAAAAGCATTGTTCCTCAATAGCACCAAAGAGTTTCTTCCTTTCACTGCTCTTTTATGCTACAGTCCCAGGTATGGTTTTGTTGTTGGTCTGAGATCTAGAACCACATGAGCACTCCCTCCTGCAATATTTTTGCTATTCCACTGATCACTGTTTTAAGATCTTATTCATTAAAGAAAATGATAGTTTTTGTATGATGTTTTAGCTGAGAAGAGAGAACATTTCCCAATTCAGGCTTCCTGAAGCTTGCAGAAGCCAGAAGAAACGACATGAAGTTTCTGTAACGTTTAGTCAGAAAATATGGCAAGAAATGATGAAACAATTGAAACCTATTTTATAATAAACAGCTGTAAAAGTAGAGATGGTGGCTATCACGTTCTACATTCTGCTACTAACCAGGAATTCTAAAAATAGGAGTTACTTTTGTGGCTTGCTAAAGAAAGGTGTTACTGTAGCTCCTTTACACTACTTCAAACTTGTACAGTACTCAGCTGCCTCACAGCTGTGTTTATGTAGATTTCCCTTCCCATGCTCCCTTATTGTTTCCAGTGAAGTTCAGTGAATTCAGAAGCATCTGGAGCCCAGGGTGACTCTTCTGTCCTTACAAACAGTAGGTAGCCTATCATCTAACTGTATATCTTGTTTAATTAAGAATTCGGATAGGTTTAATACCCTTAGTCAGTTTGAGCTCTGCAAACCCAAACCGAGCCTTATTAAGATATCTAGCAACTCTGTGAGCCTTTTGAAGAATAGCAGATTTGGAAGAGTTAAACAAAACCACCTTTAGAACACCTTAGAGCAAAGAAAGCTGCATCACAATCTGCAACAGTTTCCAGAGGTTGACAAAATTTAATTATGATTTTCACAAATATTTTAAAAAGCTGTCCTAAAAAAAGGGGCTTTAAAAAAAAAGAAGTCTCTACAGCTTACTCACATCAGAATTCTAAAAGCTTTAAGTAAAAAAATACTGTAAAAATATTTATGAAACTACATTAAGGTATAAGACCAAGGATTAAAGGTCCTCCAGCACTGCCTTCTCAGGGAGCCTCACTATACCCAGCATGTCCATAGCATCCAGTGAATCGCACACGATTATAAACTGCTAGGATTTCTCAGTGTCAATCTGCATTTGATGCCCCAAATTTCATGGTTCTTTTTACTGCCAACAGTTGGCCTTGCAATAGCTGTAAAATGTGAACAATTGATCTTCATATCAGGAAGTGCTTCCTTGAGAATCTGCAGGGAGTTATCAGTCACTATTCCAAATACCTGAAGAGTCTTTAATGAAGGAATTTCACCAAGTTCTCTAGAAAAAGAGCAATAAGAAGTCAGGTCAGTCATTAGCCTGCAAGTGTGGTTTTTTTTTTTTTTTTGGGCGATCTGTATCCAACCTAGCTAAATACACTTGAACTAAATTTTTCACAATAAGGCAAGTAATTACTTGGGATAAACGTCCTTTCCTACTTTTAAAAAGTACCCATTTAACTGAAACCAAGTTCTCTGTGCTAGTAGTTCAGGAAAACAAGATTAATTGCTAAGCCACTAATTAGATATAGAAAGCTGAAGAAAAAAAGTATTTTTTATATATATTATACACACACACACACATTTTTATATATATATATGAGGGTTAAATTGCTTCTTGCTGTTCCTTCTCACAAAAGTAAAAAATAAACTGGCTCCTCCTCTTTCATTTCTCCAGACTTACTTACTTACTTAAATATTTAGAACAAGTGGAAGGAATTGACTCGGACAAAATTTCAACACATGGCTTGCTTACAGTACAGAAGCCACTGGGGATTGTCAATGTCCAATTTGTCATGATGTTTTTGATAAGCAGCCAGCCCCAGCTTCTTCATCGCTTAATGTTTGCCCAGTAATCATGTGACCTATGTATCTGCCTGCATGTATAAACAAATATTAGATGAAATCAGAAGGCAAAGATACAGGCTACACAAGCTATCACCATGACAGCACACAGTGCCACAGTAAAGGTTTTTTCCGATTCCCATTTTGATAGTCCTTTTTTTCAAAGGGAATTGCTATTGCTCTTACTGTTGAGGACAGTAAGTCTTACAAAAACAATTTTTGTAAGAAAGACTGACATCCTTGCCCAGAGCCCCCACAGGCTGCAACAGCTTGGTCCCACCAAGTAAAGAATCTGGGTTTTATAACTAACTTCTTCAGCTCAGTTATCTAATCCTCTTCCGAGGCTCTGTAAACAAGCATTTACAGCGCTATTAGGGCACAATAAGCTTTTCTAACCTTCCTGCCTTCATCTCAGGGGGCTTAAAAATGCAAGAAAGAAAAAAAAAAGACACTTTCCCCATCCCCCCAAAAAAAACCAAACACAAAAAAACAGAAAGAAAGTAAACATAGCCTGTGGCAATTATTCTTATTCAGAGCTCTGGGGATGGTGGTCAAGGGTCTGGGGGCCCAAGTTGTTTTCTCCTCAGTCTTGCCAGTTAGGAAGAAGGATGAGAGGAGGAGTAAACGGATTCTCCAAGTAAACAACTGGCTGCGCCGCTGCTTTTAGCAAAAGGGTTTTGGTTTCTATAACTGTGGGACCTTGTTTGAAGCCTGACAACTGACTGGGAGAGATGGAAGCCACCTCACTAAATGGGGTACATGTGACCGACTTTGCCAATAGCTTGGCCAGTCTGGTAAGGAGAGCTTTAAACTAGGAAAGATGGGGGAAGGGGAGTGTTTGTTATAGAGACCACTGAGATAGCAAAATAGGGCTCAAATGAGGATACCTCCAGCAAGTGCGTGCAGCCAAGGAAGGGCCTACAAGACATGACTACAGGGTATCCTCTTGCATCCCTCCTGGGAAATCTGGCATGCTCGAATACCTCTCTGAAATGCCTGTACACCAATGCACGCAGCATGGGGAATAAAGGGGAAGAATTAGAGATCTGCGTGCAGTCGCAGGGCCATGATCTCGTTGCAATTACAGAGACTCGGTGGGACAGCTCACATGACTGGAATGTTGTCATGAATGGCTATATGCTTTTTAGGAAAGACAGGCTAGGAAGGTGAGGTGGTGGAGTTGCTCTTTATGTGAGAGAACACTTGGAGTTGTACGGAGCTCTGCCTCAGGGTGGATGATGAGTGGGTCAAGAGCTTATGGGCAAGGATTAAAGGGCAGACTAATAAGGGTGACACTGGTGTAGGTGTTTGTTTGCTGCAGGCCACCAGATCAGGAGGAGGAAGTAGAAGAGGCCTTTTAAAGAAAGACAGATGGAAGTAGCCTCATGATCACAGGCCCTAGTTCTCATGGGGGACTTCAACCACCCTGACATCTCCTGGAGGAACAACACAGCAAGGCACAAAACAAGCCAGGAGGTTCCTGGAAAGCACTGATGATAACTTTCTGGCACGGGTGATGGAGGAGCCAACAAGGAGAGGTGGACCCTGTACTAACGAACAAACAAGGAAGGACTGGTTGGAGATGTGAAGGTTGGGGGCAGCCTTGGCTGCCGTGACCAGGAGATGGTGGAGTTCAGGCTCCTGCAAGGAGGAAGCAGGGCAATAAGTAGGATCGCAACCCTGAACTTCAGGAGAGCAAACTTTGGCCTCTTCAGGGACCTTCTCGGAAGAATCCCATGGGATCAGGCCCTAGAAGGAAAGGGGATCCAAGAGAGCTGGTTAATGGTCAAGGCTCACTTCCTCCAGGCTCAAGAACAGTGCATCCCTATGAGCAAGAAGTCGAGCAAAGGGGGCAGGAGACCTGCATGGATGAACAAGGAACTCCTGACAAAACACAAACATAAGCAGGAGGTGTACAGGAGGTGGAAGCAGGGACAGGCCACTTGGGATGAATATAAGGATGTTGTCAGAGCATGCAGAGATGCGACAAGGCAGGCCAAGGTCCATTTGGCATTAAAGCTGGCAAGGGACGTCAA